TCACAGATAATGCTTGCTCTTGGTTTTACATAAATGCTACTTATCATTTAAAAAAAAAGCTCCCTTTATTCCTAAGCTTTCTAGTGTTTTTTTTAATAGGAATGAGTATTATATTTTGTCAAAAGTTTTTTCTACATGTACTGAGATAAACATGTGATTTCTGTTGTTTTTGTCATTGATATGGTCAATGATAGTTTTCCTAATATTGAATCAGCCCTGCATTCCTGGTATAATCCCACTTGGTCATAGCGTATGATCTTTGTGATCAATGGCTGTAATTTTCTTGCTAATATTTTATTTAAAATTTTTGCATTGATATTCATTAAGGAAACTGGTCTATAATTTTCTTTCTCTGTTTTTTCTTTCCCTGATTTAGTTGTTAAAACCATATTTGTGTCATAAAAGGAATTTTGTAGTACTCCTTTATTTATTTTTCCAAATAGTTTATATCATATTAGGATTAAATGATTCTTAAATGTTTGGTAGAATTCACTCATGAATCCTTTTAGCCCTGGGGATTTTTTCTTAGGGAATTCAATTATGGCTTATTCAATTTCTTTTTCTAAGATAGAGTTGTTTGAGTATTCTATTTCCTCTTCTGTTAATCTGGGCAGTTGATATTTTTGTAAATATTCATCCATTTCACTTAGGAAAGTAGCCAACTTTTATGAGGTGTATTTTAATGTGAAAGCAGTAATACTTGCATGTTTTAAACTTTTATCGAGTGTTTAAAAGCAGTAAACTATTATCAGATGTGTTTATGGCTTCACTTGAGACAGCTAGGAAAATGATAAGGGTAGCAAAGCAAGAGACCAATAAAATATTTGGATTGCTGTCACTGAAAAAAAACAAAGATATAACTGGATCTCCAGTGGTGACAAATAATTCTGTGACTCAGCATTATGGAAGGTCATGTTGTTTACTAATGATTCACTGAGAGATATCTCTCCTAACTTGCCACCCAGGTTCAGTGCTAAAATACTTGGGATCAACCCATACAGCCATCAGCTCAAAGATGCAGAGGAGAAGAAGGGGTTTTATAGTGAGGGGCATGCTTCTACTATATGTATTAAATTGGTTTCCCTATTTTCTCCCCTTGAATAATATTTTTTTCTCAAATGCATGTAAAAACAATTTTTAACATGTTTTCTTTTTAAAAATTTGAGTTCCAAATTCTCTCCCTCCTTTCCTTCCTTCCCCCTTCCCTAAGATGGTAAGCAATTTATAAGTTTTATATGTGCAATCATGCAAAACATATATCCATATTAGTCTTGTTGTGAAAGAAAACACAGACCAAAAAGTGAAAAATAGTATGCTTTGATCTGCCTTCAGACTCTATCAGTTCTTTCTCTGGAGACAGCATTTTTCATCATGAATGGGAATTGTCTTGGATCACTGTATTGCTGAGAATAGAGAAATCATTCACAGTTGATATTGTACTGTCATATTCATGGTACAATATTGCCATTACTGCATACAATGTTTTCCTGGTTTTGTTCACTTCACTCTATATCAATTCCTCTAAGTCTTTCCAGGTTTTTCTAAAAACAGCATACTTGTCATTTCTTACAGCACAATAGTATTCCATTACAATCATATACCACAACTTGTTCAACCATTCCCCAATTGATGGGCATCCCCTCAACTTCCAATTCTTGGCCACCACAAAAAGAGCTCCTATAAATATTTTTCTGTAAGTCCTCCCACCCTCCCCCTTTTAAAAATCTCTTTGGGATACACACCTGGTAGTGGTATTGCTGGGTCAAAGGTTATGTAGAGTTTTATAGCCCTTTGGGTATAGTTCCAAATTGCTTTCCAGACTGGTTAGATCACTACACAATTCTACCAACAGTGCATTAGTGACCCAATTTTCCCACATTCCCTCCAACATTTATCATTTTCCTTTTCTGTCACATTAGCCAATCTGATAGGTGTGAAGGGAGTACCTCAGAGTTGTTTTAATTTGCATTTTTCTAATAAATAATTATTTAGAGCATTTTTCATATTAGTATAGATAGCTTTGATTTCTTCTTCTGAAAACTGCGTATTCATATCCTTTGACCATTTATCAATTGGTAAATGACTTGTATTCTTATAAATTTGATTCAGTTCTCTATATACTTGAGAAATGAGGTCTTTATCACAGACACTTGCTGCAAAAAAATTTTTTTTTCCAGCTTTCTGCTTTCCTTTTAATTTTGGTTGGCTTTATTTGTTTTAATGTTTTTATTAATTTATTTATTTTTAGTTTCCAACATTCACTTCCACAAGATTTTGAGTTCCAAATTTTCTCCCCATCTCACCCCTCCTCTGCCCCAAGATGCATTCTGAGTACCCCTTCCCCTAATTTGCCCCCTCTTTTTATCACCCCCCCCTTCTATTTTTCTGTAGGGCAGGATAGATTTCTATACTCCATTGCCTGTATATCTTATTTCCCAGTTGCATGTAAAAACAATTTTTAACATTTGTTTTTGAAACTTTGGGTTCCAAATTCTCTCCCTCCCTCCCTCCCCATCCACCCTCATTGAGAAGGCAAACAACTTGATACAGGTTATACATGTGTAGTCATATAAAATACTTCCATAGTAGTTATGTTGTGAAAAACTAACTATATTTCCCTTCATCCTATCCCACTCCCCCATTTATTCTATTCTCTCCTTTGACCCTGTCCCTCCTCGGAAGTGTTTGCTTCTGATTACCCTTTTCCCCAATCTGCCCTCCTTTCTATCATCCCTGCCGCTCTCTTATCCCCTTGCCCCCTCTTTTCCTGTAGGGTAAGATAGATTTCCATACCCAATTGAGTGTGTATAGTATTCTCTCCTTAAGGGTTGGCTTTATTTGTACAAAACTTTTTAAATTTAATATAATCAAAACTAACCATTTTACATCTCAGCATGCTCTCTATCTCTTATTTGATCACAAATTCTTTTCCTATTCATAGATCTGACAGGTAAACAATTCCATGCTCTCCTAATTTGCCCATAGTATGACTCTTTATGTCTAAATCATGAATCATTCCGACCTTATCTTGGTATGTGGTATAAGATGTTGGTCTATACCTAGTTTTTGCCAAACTATTTTCCAAGTTTCCCTATTTTCATGCCATGGGCAGGAAATTTCCATTGATTGACTAGGACAAAGCAAGTATATGGTCCCTGCACATCTTGTCCACAACTCTCCTGACTGTGGGCTTGAACCAGATGAAAATGTAATTGGGAAGTATTTAAGAAAAGAAATAAAAATATAATAAAGTATTATATAACTAAATAATATTATAAAAATAATATTAAATTTTAAAACTAAGTCACTATGTAATCCACAGGGATCCTTATGTATGGTTTAGTGATCTCATTTCTATTTGGGTTTGACACAATTGGACGAGGAAGTTGGACATTTTTACCATGGAAGAATCTGGATATGAAATGTTACAAATAAATGAAAGGGTATGGTTATGAAGCAGGGAAGACAAGGCATGTCTAGAGCAGAAACAATAGCCTATTATAACACAGGCCAAGAAAAAGGAAGGTCTTGGGGGCTACCACAGAGGTGCAACCTGAGCAGTAAGCCATCCCCATTCTCCAGAACCTCTTTCAACCTCAGCCTGAGGTGATATGCTTTTATTCACATTGAGGCAGCCCAGAATTCACAGCATAAAGTGAGGTACAAATAGCTGTTTCCCAGCTGTCAACAATTCAGGCATATCCTATCTATTTTTGCTTCAAAATTCTTTACTTATGCTTATTCAGAGGTACATATATCCTAATTGAAGTTGCAATGCCAAAGGGCCTAGTGTTCAAGGAAGACAATCTTGGTGACTTTGTTTTCTACCACCAGATGTTATACACAATGTGCAGATGTTTAGTGATAAAACTGATTTCAAATATCCAAGGTATATAAGTAATGCACAAAAATATTTAAAATTATGAGCCATTTCCCACTGGAAAAGTGGTCAAAGGATATGGACAAATAGTTCTCAAAAGAATTATTAACAACTATATGAGAGAATGCTCCAAATCATTCATAAGAGAAATCTAAATTTAAACTCCTCTGGAGTGTCATTTCATTAACAACAAATTGTCAAAAATGACAAATGATAGATACAGATGTTGGATAATGGCAACAATGTTGGAGGGGCTATGGAAAACTGGCACAGTAATACACTGTTGACAGAGCTGTGAATTGGAGTAATCATTCAGAAAGAAAAATTGAAATTAGGATAAGAAAGTATCTAAAATACCCATATTCTTTGACCCAGGGATTTCACTGTTAAGCATATAGTCCAAGGAGGAGAGAGACAGAAAGAAATGCTCCAGGTATACAAAATTACTCATAGCAGTGCTTTTTTGTGGTAGCAAAGAACTGGAAACAAAGTAGATATTCATCACTTGGGGGAATAGCTAAACATAGGGATAATGATTGTATGTGAAACTAATGAAATATGATATTGTTAATAAATATTTTAAAAAATTTAAGGTCGAATGTGAAAACTTTTATGAACTGATTGATTGATTAAACTGAAGCAAAGCAAGTAGAATCAGGAAAATAATATACACAACAGTTAAAATGCTATATGTGTAAATGGCAAGATCAAAACCCAAAACTGAATGCTATATAACTAAAATAATCAAGCTTATCCCTGCAAGAGTTGAGGAAAAAGAACCTCACTCACTTCTCTGCAGAAGTGGGAGACTACGAATATGGGTAATTGTATATATTGTCACTCGGTTGATGTGTTTGTTGGTTTTACTTAACTGCCTTCTCCCCCCTCTTTCTTTTTTATTCTTTGTTACATAAAATGGCTCCCTGGGGAAGTGAAGGGGAGGAATATATGTGGAAGTAAATTAAATAAAAGCAAAAAATGACAAATTTTTTAAAATTGATTTTGATATAGAAGAAGATACTGATATCCCAGGACTGCTCTCCAAGTAGCTGGAACACTACCATATAGCAAGACATATTCACACATATAATATAGTCTCATGAAAAGTGACCACAACTTATTCATTTGCTTCCCCCCCCCCCACTATTTAACTTTATTTCAAAAACATCTTTGTTCCAAAATTGGCATAAACTGATTGGAGAAGTTTCCTGCTTTAATACAAGGAAATTATCCTTGTCCTGATTGGAAAATGAATGTGAAATATGGCTCCTTACTACCTTCACCTGGTTTCAAAAGTGAAGAAGGAAATGGAAACTCGAAGATCAGTTACAAGAAATCACCCAGGCCATGTTTACTCTGACCTAAAATCAAAATGATCTGATAAGCTCCCTATCTCCTAACCCTAACACCAGTCCTAGGTGTGAAGATTTTCAGTTCTCTTGACTGAGAAGAATACAAAGGTAATCATCAGAGGATGTTGCCCTATTCTTCTTCAGGGTCAGAAAAGGAGAAAGGAATAAATGAAATACAGTTTTTAAAAAGGTAATGGAGGAGGGGTGCTGTTGGACTATAATCGGTTGCGGAATGAGGCAGGTCTTTACTTTATTCCACAATCTTCCACTGATCAAAGAACTATCTGCTTAGAACAAGTTCTTAGCCTTTGTCTCCTAAAGAAGCACCTGCAATAGATTTCCTCTAACTATGAAAACAATCAGTCATAACTTTTTACTGGCACCTACATAGCTTATAATTACAAAGATTCTGAGCTTGGTAGATTTTCTTTTGGCTAAGAGGTGCTTTGGTGGTTGTTCCCCGCCCCCACCTTTTTTTGAAGACTTGGATTACTCCGAATTTTTATCAGGTGTGACACTAAGTTAAGCTTTTTACACATTTTAGTCTTTGTATTTGTCAAAACAATATAAATGCAATGCAGATAATACTGCATACAACAAAGTGCTTTTTCATATTAGTATGATCACTACTTCTCATATAATAACATTCTCCGTAGGCACCTGGTGTTGACTTTTGAGGAATACTTCAAAGATTGATTCTTTTTCCTTTCACAAGCCGTGCTTGCATCATCCAAGCATCCTAAAAATAATCCCAAACAGAGTTTAAGTTCTTGAATAGCCGTACTGGTTAGTAAACAAAATAAATTCTAACTTGGTCAAGAGTTAAAAAAGGAACTTAAGGTTCTAGTTCAACCTGCTTGTATTAAAGATGAGGAAACAGAGGCCAAGAGACATGAAATAATCTGCCCAAGACCATAGAGATAGTAAGTGTATTAAGTGCCAGGTCTTCTAACTCTAAATCCAGAGATCTTTTCACCGAATCACAACCAAAGAAGGATAAAGCAGACATTATGAAGAGCCAACTACAGAAGCAACAATGAAGAGAAGAAAGTGAAAGCAAAGGAGGGATAATTAATACAAAGAGGGATAGAGGGACTAAAGGTTCTAGTGAGGATGAAGAATAGTCAGGAAAACAAAGGCAGGCAGAGTTGGAATGATAGGGGCTTTTGATAAGATGGAGAAATTTTAGTGTTCTTGATTGTGGAGAGAGCATAGTCATGGGTAAGGAGAAGATCAATGGTATGACCACCTCAGTAGGTGGAGTGGGGATACAGGACAGAAAAATTGAGGGGGTTGATGAACCAGAAGGCCAGAGTGTTTGTGCACACTGAAGTCCCCAAGTTTAAGGGGAGGCTGGAATGGAGAAGAATCTGTGATTCAGACAATGAATTCCTAGAGAAAGGAGGGAGGCTTTTGATAACTACAAGAAGGATTAGATGCAGTGACGTATGTACATGGAATAAACCTCAAAGCGGGGAGACTGCTGAGTAATGACAGTAAAGAGAGGGTCTAAAAATGGAAGTGAGGAGCAAGGAATTTGCCTTTTCCTCTTCTTAGCTCCTTGTGCTGGCGGACATGACAGAAAGCACATCCAATACTTGGTAGCACCTCAATGGCACAATGGATAGAATACTGAATTTGAAGTAAGGAAGACCTGAGTTTAACCCTATCTTAGATACTTAACCAAATGTGTGATCTTAGGCAAATCATTTAAATTTTCTCAACCTCGGTTTCATCAACTCTGAAATGGGGCAATAATAAAACCTCTCTCCCTCAGAAGATTGTTGCAAAGATCAAATAATATATGAGCTTAAAGGGCTATACAAAATGCTAGCTGTTATTATCATTACTAAAGACAGTGGCCAGGAATGTAATATCTTCTGTAATGAGCCAGGTCTCCATGAGTGGTAGAAGATGAGAGGAATATGAGCAGAAAAAAATCTAGAATGCAGAATGGGTTAAAAACCAGAATCCTACAATATGTTGTTTACAAAAAACACATCTGAAACACAGAGATACACACAAGAGTAAAGGTAAGGGGCTAGAGCAGAACTTATTATGCTTCGGCAGAAACAAAAAAAGTAAGGGTAGCAACCTTGATATCAGACAAAGCAAAAGCAAAAACAGATTTAACTAAAAGAGATAAGGAAAGAAACTGTATCTTGCTGAAGGGAAGTTTGTTAATGACTAAATGAGTGCTTCAGAGGTTATAATGGAGAGGGCAGGACAGAGCTGAAAAGAGACTTGGGAAAAGTCTTAAGGCAGAGGTAGATGGGAGTGAGAAAAACATAAGTTAGGTGAAACAACATTACAGGGGGCAGTTAGTTCCATAGGCTGGGACTGGAAATAAACCTGTGATTTCATTGGTACAGGTAACTTCCAGAGGAGGAAACGCCTTCTACCACGGCAAGTCAATATTTTCTCTGCAACTTACAGTCTTGGATAGTTACCTAGAACACTGAAAGGCTAAGGGACTTGCCTGGACTCACATTAGCCAGTAGATGACAGAGACAGGACTAGATAGAACCTAGGTCTTTTTGGTTTCCAGGGCAGCTCTCTACCCACTATACTGCACTGCCACTTCCATGAGAACAGTGTTAAAAATTATTCCAAGAAAATCACTTTATATCATGTTTCTTCCATCATGCCAATTAGATTTGGCATGTAGGAATAGGATGTATTAACAATGTTACTGTGAAAGGACAGGGCAACTTAATGCAGGGTCTACCTATATCTAAATTAAATACCATCGGGAACTACTTTGCAATTTTTAAAAAGAGAAAAAAAAAACAGAGTTTTTCACCTTTTCATTTCATACAGACCTACCTTTAATTTGACATTGGCAACACCATATTTTTTTTCTACCATGACTTGGACTTCTTTCTCAATGTTTTCTTGACTGGTACCCTTCACGTCAGTGTAGTAGCAATCAGAACTGGCAAAGTGACAGGAAATCGCCTGTATACATTGGGTCAATTAATAGAAAAAGACATCCAATTATTACTGGCCCTGAGGGGCAATAAATGAATTACACAACTGAGTACTTAGCTTCTATCTTGGACTACGATTTAGCCCGCCCCTGTAGGGGAGTTTTAAAAGCACAAGCAGTTCTAAACTACAGTCATTCTTTCCCCAAAAAGAACTGAAAGGGTTAGGTAACTATTCACACAACTTGTGTATTCTTAACATTTTTCATTGGCTCAGTGTTCTTAATCTTCAGAAGATTCCTCAATTTCCTTAAAACACTTACCAGGAGAATGTAAGCTCTTTGAAGGCAGGGATTGTTTTATTTTTGTCTTTGGATTCTCAAATATTGAGTACAGTGTCTGTACAATGTTGGTGTTTGATAAGTATTTGTTTTATTTTTGAATTATGGCTTATTGCAGTGGGAAGAGTGTTGGATTCAGAGGCCCTAGGTTTGAATCCTAGCTGTGCCACTTACCACCTGGGTGACCTTGGGAAAGTCACAACTATCTAGGCCTCAGTTTCCTCATCTGTAAAATGAGAAGGTTTGGCCTTGATGGTCTCTAATCCCCTTCCATCTCCAAAATTATTATCCTATTAGCCTCTTAGCCATAGAAGTTATCTCGCTGAGTTTACAATAGATTATTTCTTTAAATGGTAATTAAGATAATAATATAATCAAGGTGCTCTACTGGAAAATAATAAACATGCTACCAGACTAAAGGAATACTTAAAGCTCCATTACAATCAACACATACTAATGACTCCTATATTGCTTCTCTCTGGCATTAATAAATGCAAATTTTGAACTCTTGCCTGCTCCTAGAAAATGGGAATGGCAATCCAAATTCAAGTGGCTGCAGTTAAACTAGAACATTATGAGAATTCTTCATCGTGTGGTGAGAGTAACCACAACCTTCAGGGTGAATTTCCTCTCTGCCAGAAATGCTTCAGAGACCTACGGTGAAGGTTATTCACAGAACTTTAAGCACTAGTTGGATTTTTCCCATGGTAAAGATAGTAAAGTCCTGCTCTGATGCCTCATTGTGGTATGGATGTGACCCTTGGGTTCTTGAAGTTCATACTAGGAGAGTACAAGGTAGAAAAATTTCACATAAAGAGTCAGGAAGAAGTTGGTTAAGGACCAGTCTAAAGCTAAACTCAGAGAAGCTCACCAGCCACAAAGTGGGCCAGTAATGAATTAAGTGATAGACAAGATGATAAATTATTTTTGACCACAGAAAATCAGAGGAATTGCAAGTCTACATCATTGGAAGGGGAGGGTACCCACACAGATCTCTTAGAGCACTAGAGAAAGACATTGCCTTCTCTTTTGTCTTTAGTTCTGTCCACTTAAGCTGCCCAAGTTGAAGAATCAATCAGCAAGTATTGATTAAGTATCTACTACGTGCTGGGACTGTCTTTTGCCTTTTTTTGTATCCCCACCTTAGCACAGTGCCTGACACAAAGTAGGTACTTAAGAAATGTTTTCTGACTGACTGATTGACTATGCCAGGCACTGGGAATGCAAATAGACTCACAAGCAGTTTACAGTCTAATAGGACAGACAACAAGGATGTATATAGGGTATCCCAAAAGTCTTACTGTGGTTTTAAGATCTATACTACTGTATGTGTGTGTGTGTGTGTGTGTGTGTTTGTATGTATATATGTATGTATGTGCATGTATATATATGAGAAATAAATACAAATAAATTAAAGAGAAAAATTCAAATTAGCCAAATAGAAGGTAATTTGAGAGGGAGGGCAGCAGCAGTTGGAGGAAGGGGTGTTCAGAGAAAGCTTCATGTAGAAGACAGTGCTTGTTCTACATCTTGAAGGAAGAGGGATTCTATGAGGCAGTGGTGAGGAAAGAGTGCATTCCAGGTATGGAGAATAATCCATGCAAAGGCAAAGGTGGGAGATGGAATGTCGAGTGTGAGGAGCAGAGAAAAGGTCAATTGGACAAGACCACAGAGTGCAGGAGAAGTAGTAATGTCCTATAAAAATTCCAGATTATGTTGTTATGTTTTGGCAATGATATCATGTATTGTTTGCAGCATAGGCCAAAAATTAAATGCAAAACAAAAATAAAGCAAGCTGTTTTTTTCTGAGGAAATGAATGTCTGTCAATCAATAGGGCATCCATAGAATTTGGTTCTTTATTGATAAAAGTAAGAGATTAAGCTTCCTTGTTAATAAAATAGACTAAAATCTTCACTTATTGACACTTTGTAATTATAATCAGAGTTCATATAGGTTTGGAATGCTATTTTAAAATTTGATTTACAGGGCAGCTAGGTGGCACAGTGAATAGAGCACCGGCCCTGGATTTGGGAGGACCTGAGTTCAAATTCGGCTTCAGACACATAACACGTACTAGCTGTGTGACCCTAGGCAAGTCACTTAACCCCATTGCCTAACCAAAAAGAAAAATTTATTTACAAACTTATTTACAGTTGGAAGGGAAATTATTGTTTGTTACCTTCCGGAACCCTTCAGTTCTATTTCTTCCAGATCCATGAATGAGCAGAGGATGGAAAAAAACAGTATCTCCCTTCTCCATCACAAGGTGAGTTCTGGGTTGGTTTAAATCATAGTCTTGGATACCGTGGAACATAATATTAACTCCCCCCTAGAATACAAAACAAACCATGTTTTAGACTTAGAAGAAGTAAAACAAATCAAACCAATGACTTAGAATGAGCAAATAATAGTCTTTTAATGTCTTCTCTTTATCCAAATTTCAAAATACAGAATAATGCTTTGGGCCAAGAAAGGCCTTTCACTTGTCATGTCTTTTCAAAGAAAAATATCTTATAAGGACAAATTCTATTAACCCCTCTTGCTCTATTTTTGCATGTTCTCAGTAGTCAGACCTACCTCCCATTTAGGATAGTCATGTGGTTTCAAAGTGCCCTTGTGCGTGCCTGGTAACACAACCAGGCAGCCATTGTTTCTATCAATATGTTCCATGGCAGTCCAAGCACAGACAATGGAATTGGGAGGCCTGAATGGAAAGTAGTGCAGGTCCTGATGGAAGGGATGGCGAGAAGTCTTCTTACCTGAAATGGAACCCAACCCATATGTTAGAAGAAGCTGTAGCCTCAGAACTCCTCAGTTTTCCCTATACAAACAGCCAATATCCATTCCTATAAAGAGTTTATATTATAAAGAAATATGCATACTAGAAAAATATAAAATATAAAGAAATACAATCACAGGAATAACAATCAGTTCAGCTCAGAAGGTTAAGTATTGTAGAGGACTTTCAGTGAGACTTGATTTCAAATACCAGATATCACCGTAAGATGCTGAATAGAGAAATGTGGCCAGGCACCACCAGATTTCAGGAGAATGTGACTTGATGGGGAGGCACAGAAGCTGTGGTCAGTAATGTTGCATACTTTGATTTCATACACAAATCCCACTGAACCGGTCTCTGGATATGCCCTTGGCTAAGTTTACCCTCAGGCTCAAATTCCTTGGACAGCCCTTATGGTGAGGATTTGCCTGGTCATTTATAACTCTCTGAGCCATCTTCTAAGAGGCTAGGTTATTAATAGTAGTGGAATATGATCTATTCTTCTACTTTCTACTTACTCCAATGCCTCACTGTAGTGTAGTCGGGAGCCTGGGTTCTAAAAAGCAATGCCAATGGAGAACAGGCTCTGACAAGTGCTATCAAAACATGAAAGGTTTTGAGTATGGGCCTAGGGTTATCCTATGTGTCTAGTGTCCAAGCACTAGCCTAACTAGGGTTAGAGAGCCTCGTCACTAGGTCAGTCACAGGACAGGTTTTTGGCTACAATAATTCTCCTGAAGACCTATGAAGTTATTTAAACATTGTGATCTTGCCTTGGATTTGGAGCAGCATCTATCCCAATGAAATCATAGATCAAATGAGTGGGCTAGATAAGCACTTCCAGTCCTCTGAACCTAAGGAAGTAATAACAGCTATGGACAAATAAATATCTGAGACTGTCACACTTTGATTTTATAGCAATGTAAATAATTTTAAATTGTATTTAAAAGGACACATATATGCCCCCAAATTACTAATTGTTAGATTGATTGATTCAATGTGTGTAGGCCGGGATGCTGATTTTACTTCAATTTTTATAATACAACCAGTATATCTTTCCTGATCCGCATTCCACAGGTCCCTCACCAACTAGCCCTTAATGTAAATAAAAGCTCTTTACCAGAATCTGGAGGCTTGTTTATCAGCATTGTATGCATAGCCATGACATTGGGTCCAGTGAAACACTCGACATATTTAACAATCTGAGATAGGGAGAGGAAAAAGCTCATGAGAAACTAGAGGCATAGATCACAGCACAAAGTTAAGTTTCAACTATCTGCATTAAATCCAAAATAACAACAATGTCAGTAACCCACATTTCTATAGTGCTTTATGGCTCCTCACAACAGCCCAGTGAGGTAAATTCTATTATTACTCTCATTTTACAGATGAAGAAACTAACTCTCAGAGAATTTGAATGACTTAGGATCATAGATTTAGATCTGAAAGGGACCTTAGAAGCCAGAGTCTAACTCCCTCATCTAATAAATGGGGAAAATGAGAGAAGTTAAGTGATTTATCCAGGATCACACAGCTAATAAGTATTTAAGTTAGGACTTTAGCTCAGGCGTTCCTGACTCCAAGCAAAGACTTCTCTCCATTGTACCATACTAGGTCACACAGCTTGTAAATGTGTGAAGTGGATTTCAAGTCTCAATAAAAAAAAAAATTATTCCTCCCAAAATATTTATTTGGCTCTAAGATGCATTTTTGACCTTCTTTGACTAGCTATAGGTGATATAAGCAAGACTTCAAAAAAGAACTCAAAGTTGAAATAAAGTAGGCAGGAAGGGGAAAGGATTTTTACCTTTTTTTAAAATAAATTTTTATTCACATCATTTGTTTTTATATCACCTATGTCCCTCTGTATTCTTCTCTCTACCTCATTCTAGAGATTGATCCCTTATAATAAAGTTTGAAGGATGAAAAAAATTGCATAAAACAACTAAATAAGATAGTAAGAAAGTCTGACATGATCCATAGTATATCATGCCCACAGTCTCCCACATCTACAGAATATGGGAGAAGTGTCATCTCATATCTCTTCTTTGGGGACAAACTCAGTCATTAAAATTATATAGTGAATATAGAATTGTTGTTGTTGAGTCATTTCAATCATGCCCAACTCTCCATGACCCTATTTGGGGTTTTCTTGGCAGAGATACTGGGATGGTTTGCCATTTCCATCTCTAGCTTATTTTTACAGATGAGAAACTGAGGCAAACAAGTTAATTGACTTGCCCAGGGTCAGACAGTTAGTAAGTGTCTGATACCGGAGTCTTCCTGATTCTGGGCCCAGCACTCTGTCCACAGCGCCACCCAGCTGCCCTGAATACTGAATTACATATCACAAAATTAAATAATCATGACAAAATCATTTTCATTTTTTTGTTGCTAAGGCATAATTCAAACACCATCATTAAACAATTAGCACATCATAATGCATAATTACTTGTTAATCTTTCCGTTCACATTTTGGGTAATCATTGTGTATGCTGTTTTCCTGGTTCTTCTTATTCCATTTTTGACCAGTTGTATTTTTACTTTTTAACCCTTTTTAATGACGCAAGGTTCTTCTTAAATTGGTTACACAAGATGGTGATGGCACAAAGCAAGAAACTTTCTTTAAGCCCATTTTGGTAACAAGCCAGAGTGGAGCAATTATTGTTGTCAATTTTTACCCGATAATACACAGACTTGGTTTTGTATCATTATTTTAAAACCTATCATGAAATTCTAAAACCAAATCAATTTTAATCTTCTAACGACAGAGAAGAAGTGGAAGGAGGGAAGGAAGGGAGAGTACAATCAACTGATTAAAAAATGAAGATAGTTCTGAGCAACTAACAAAGTATCAGGGTTGCACAACTCTGATGTATGTGTTACAGTTTAGATCGGTGCTGCTTTGCTCTTTACCACAGACAAAGGATTTTTTTACACTACCATTAATGACTTCTCATTATTATGACAATTCATGCATTTCTCCTAACCTCTATTTCTTTTTTTTGTTTTTTTTGTTTTTTTTGTTAGGCAATGGGGTTAAGTGACTTGCCCAGGGTCACACAGCTAGTAAGTATTATGTGCCTGAGGTTGGATTTGAACTCAGGGCCTCCTGACTCCAAGGCCGGTGCTCTATCCACTGTACCACCTAGCTGCCCTCCTAACCTCTACTTCTTAGAATTCCCAGTTTCCTTCAAAACTCAGCTCAAATGCCATCTGCTTTCCAAGTTTCCTTCAGTCCTTCTACTGCTGTGGCTACTGTCCCCCTCCAAATTACCTTGCATATACTTGCAGATGTATGTATTTTCTCTTCTGATAAACTTCTTGAGAGGAAGAACTGTTTCCTTTTTGTTTGTTTGTTTCTGAATCCTTAGGCCTAGCACAGTTTCTGGCATATAGTAGGTACCTAACAAATGCTTAGTGAGTGATAGGGAACTTAAGGGATTATAAAGCACTTTCCTGACAACACTCCTGTGATATAGGTAAAATAAATAGTATTACCCACATTTTATAGAAGGAGAAATTCAGGCTAACCAAGGCTTAGTGACGTGTCCACGGACATTCTGGTTTCAATTCACAGGAAGATCTCTTGACCAAAAGGAGACAGACTCAAAAGAATGAGACATAACTTTTTTTTTTGGACACAATTTTTTGCACATCCAATGAAGGAATTTGTTTTGTTAGACTATGCATATTTGTCAGAAGAGTTTTGCTTTTCTTTTTGAAATGAGGAGGGAGAGAAAATAAATGCTTATTAATTAATTAAAAATTAAAAAATTAAAATTCATAGCAAATATTAGGCTAATCACGCTTATTCAAGCCAAACCATATCCTTTTTCCCTCCTCTGGTGACAGTATTCGGAAAGTTAGGGAAGTCCCAAACTCAATAATAAAACCTGGGCTTTTAGTGCTTTAAAGTTTACAAAGCACTTTTTTCCATTCTATTCCTGTGAGAAAGGAAGTACCAGTATTATTTCCTCCATTTTACAGAAGAAGAAAACAAGGGTCCGGGAGCCTCAGCACAAAGCTAGTAAGTGAGACAGCAAAGACCCCAACCTCGGTCACTCCTTATCCCAGGTCCAGTACACTTTCCACAACACCACACCAGTCTTCAACTTAACATGAGTAAAAATGTCTCCATTTCCCTCTACCACGGAACATTCTCCCAGCCCTAATGAAATCTAGGGCCATAGGTGTAAAGGGTTTCAGAGCTAGGAAAAAATAATAGATCACAAAAGTAGTAAGCAAGACAATTGTCATTTTAAAAAATAAAGTCTGTGGGTGTTTTTTTTTTAAATAAAAATAAAACAAGGCAAAACTTTTAACCTGAGGCAGAGTGCAGTAGCTGAAGAGTTCTTCATCATTCTGAAAATTCTGGATTTTTGCAGTTATTTTCTCATGTGGAGAAAAGCCTGATTTTGCAATGGTCACATCCTTCATGATCTCTAATCCGAGGGGTTCCACTTCCTTTCTGCAGATCCTTTCAAACTGAGCCCTGGACAAATCAAATTGAAGATGCCATCATCCTTTGGAACACCACAGAATTGATATCTTAACAGCATAACACTGCTCACTGACAGCATTCACTCAAAGATGCCATTTCAGCAGACACATTGAGGAAGTTTTCAAGAGGCCTTCACAGGTCTCTTCACCTACGGCTTATCGGTATCCAAACCCAAAAAGAAATGCTACCAAGATTGGAAAAGAAAATGGTGGATGATTTTGCTGCCCCCTGCTGTCACAATCATTTAATAGAATCAGGGCTGAAATTCACCACCAGGTTCAAAATGCCTGAAGATATTGTTGACAAAATAACTACGGTGCTTTACTGAGAGGCATGTCCTCCCACTATATGCTTAAATCCCAAGCCATAAAGAAGCCTCAGAAACCCTAGACAAACTAATGTTAATAAACTTTATTCCATTTGTGTTATATTATTTTTTAAAATGGCTATACTGTACCTATAGCGTTGAATATCTGCTTCAGACACTAGTTTTTTTATGACCAGGAAACCATTGTCCTCATAAAATTGCCTCTGTTCTAGGGTTAAGACATCATTATCCACAGTGTACCTATGGGGGAAAGTGGAGGGAGAGACGAGGTGGTGGGGAGAAGAGGGCATGAGAGAACAGGGAGAGAAGGGGGGGAAGCATATCAATATCAATAATTTTGAAGATGATATATTTTCATTTTGCCTGAATATGAATTACAGGACTGCATTAAAATGCACTCCATAAACATGAAGGGATCCCCTTTTAAAAAGTAATTTAAGAAGGACAGAATAAAAATATTGCTCAGTGCACTAATATAATCAAGACACAAACTAATTTCAATATCATATTCATCAATCCCGATAGATATAGTCACCATACTGCATAGTTTGTGACATTTTCTCTTCCTTCTGAATTACAAGCCATCTCTTGGCAACTAAAATGAAACTGGTTTCTCTAAAAGAGGGTCCAGAATACCACATCAATTAAAACATGTCTGATGATTTGAAATTATGTATAATAAAAATTCTAATCAGGCAAAGAGCTACTTAGTTCTCCTAGCATTAATTACTACATAAAATGCAATTATGTACACAGCATTATTTTTAAAAATTAAGTAAAACAGCACTTACTGGAATTTCTGAGGATGTAAACGGACAGGTACAACAGCAGCTGAAGTCGGGTAAGCTGTCTAGTATACACATTAAGTTAAATAAAATACTCAAAGGCAAAATCTTTCCCATTAACAATATATGCATTCACTTTATCTTTAGAGATGAAAGTGCCTGAGAGATCCTTGAGCCCAGGGGTCTTAGCCTTTTTTGTGTCACAGTCCTCTATGGCAGTCTGTCAAGTTTATTGACCATGTCTCAGAATTAGGTTTTTCAAATGCATAAAATAGAATACATAAGACTACAAAGGAAGCTAATGCTACAAAAGTACAGTTAACAAAATATTTTTGTTTGTTTTTTTTGGCTAGGCAATGGGGTTAAGTGACTTGCCCAGGGTCACACAGCTAGTAAGTGTTATGTGTCTGAGGCCATATTTGAACTCAGGTCCTCCTGACTCCATCCACTGCACCACCTAGCTGCCCCAACAAAATATTTTTAAAACAACAAGTTCATCAATGCCAGATAAAGAACCTCTGATATTCTAGTCTACACTATTTGTTTAACTGATAAAGGCTCTGAGGCCAAGAAATATGAATTGAATGAAACTAAGTCACACAGAGAGTTCAAAATAGATCTTCTGGCCTCCAGTTACACCACACTCATTCTTCTACATCATATACTGCCTCTTCAGTCTGGCCTTGGGTTGAACACAGAAAGATTGTTCCCAGTCCACATAATCTAATCTAATTTTGAATAACCTGAAGAATATAATGTTCTTCCCGAAGTTCTAAATGTTTACATATGAGGAGACATAAACACTCTCTAATTTTTGTATCCAGTTGAGTGGGAGTCTAGAGCAAAAAACTGGAAGTAATTAGGCAGGGTCTGAAAAAATAAAAAGTAAATGAGAGAAAGATAAATACTGAATCCTAGAACACAATCTAGCTGGAAGAGATGCATCAGTTAACAAGATTCTATTTCCAGCTTTATTACTGAATCACTAAATAACTTTATAAAGGCAGTCTATATATTAAGTCTTACAAAGTTGTTATCTGCATTAAATAACTCCTTCAACAAATTCACTTCAACCATTTATTAAGTGTCTACTGAGTTCAAGGCACTGTGCTAAGTACTGGGGATACCTAGAGACATGATACATGCATCGCTCAGCTATAAAAGTTGGTTGAAATTAGATTGCAGATAGCTTTGAATGTCAGGATTAGGAGTTCATACTTTATTTGGCAGGTAATGGGGAGCCATCACAGGTCTTTGAGTAAGGGAAGTGAGGTGATCATCCTGATGCATAAGAAGATTACTTGGGCAGTGGTGTGAAGGCTAGAAGGAAGACTGGAAACACAAAGACTACATAGGAGGTTATTCTAATACTTTAGTCAAGAAGAAATGGGGTCCTGAATTAGAAAGGATACAATGAAGTATAAAAGAGGAAAGGATAGATGAAGACACCTTGGAGATAACATGACAGATTGTGGTGACTTACTGTTTATGTAGCCTGCAGGAATGAACAGAGTCAACAATGACTATATAGTTATGAAGTGGGGTGACCAAGAGGACTTCAACAGAAATGGACAAGTTAGAGGGACAGGTTTCTTGTAGTAGATGATGAGTTCAGTTTTGAACAAGGTGAAGGTGAGGTAGCAGCAGGACAATCTGAAAGCAATATGAAACTGGAGTTCTGGGGAGAGGTTGGATGGAAGTTTTGATTCGATAGTTGTCCATGGATAGGTTAGATCAGCATGTTTCAATAGAAAGGGCATTGATTCTGGAGTCAGAGAAGCTGCTTCTGATGCGTATTGCCTTCATGACCTTAAGCAAATAATTTAATCATCTTGGGTCAAAGTTCCTCGCTGTAAAATACAGGATACAGCAGCTATGGCTCCTTTCAGTTCTAAATCTATGAACCTATGAAGAAGAATAGAGAATAGAACTACAGACGGAAAATGGGGGACAGACACTCATGTTGAAGAAGTGGAAGAATGAGGAGTTATCAAAGCAAAGGGAGGGAAGGAGGTAAAGTGAATCAGAATGTGAAAGCAAAGCTCAGAATATGGAATATAGAAGAAAGCACTGGTTAGGTAGTCAGGAGACCTGACCTCTCTATTTTCACTTACGCCACTAATTGTTATATAACTTTGGTGCATGGCATTTCAGCTATTTTCTTTTACGCAAAATGAGGCAACTGGGGGGCAGCTAGGTGGCACAGTGGATAGCGCACCCGCCCTGGAGTCAGGAGGACCTGAGTTCAAATTTGGCCTTAGACCAAACACTTGACACTTACTAGCTGTGTGACTCTGGGCAAGTCACTTAACCCCAACTGCCTAAAAACTAAAAAAAAAAAAAAAAAAAAAAAAGAGGCAACTGGCCCAGATGGCCTCTAAGGCTTTCCAGTTCTAAATTTGAGGAAAATTTTTAAATGCAAAATCCATAATGTATATCCTATAGTTACCATTATTTTGAATATTGTTGTATTCTGTTGTAAAAAATATTCAGGAAAGGTTAAAGAAACAACTTTACAATCTTATGAGAGAAATGGAATTTTTCCTAGATCAAAACAAAAACCCTGGCAGAGTTATCAATCAGACCTGCCAAAGCATGCCCTCAATACTAGTGACATGATCTGGCAAAACAATCACAGAACCATAGAATCTCAGCTTTGGAAAGAATCTTAGAAGTCATCTGCTCTTAAGATCATGGACCCAGAGTGGGAAGGGCTCTCAGGGCCAACTATTTCAAACCCTCATTTTACAGAGGAGGAAACTGAGGATCCTGGAAATTAAGCAACCCAGACATCTAGGGAAACCTTCCATTTATTCCTTCAAGTTCAAATTTTCACTATTGATAATAGAGAAACAAATGATTTTAAGTGGGTAACTTCTCTTTTACTGTGAAATAATATTTCTTAAATATTACATAGAAAGAGCCAATGGAAATAAATTTGTGAAGTATACACACTTCCCTAAAAAATTGCTAAGGTAAAACCTTCAACTTGAGATATCCAGGAAGGAAATACATACAATCTTTAAGACTGTGTGACTTTAGGCAAGTCATTACACTACTTTGGGCCTCAATTTCCTAGAGAAGATACCTTGGAAAGGGTATAGAGAACCATCTAAAAAGTTCAGCAAAAGGACTCAGGACTGGCAGGGATTTTTTAGCCCTTGAGCTGACAGAATCTGACATCATATTAGTAATCTTGGTGCCCTCTAACCTGGCAACCTCCAAGGAACCATTCAGTTTGGGGTCAGATGCTCACTCCTCTGACCGTCAAAAACATAAACCATTTATGACGTTCTTAGGGCTTCAGCCAACCTGGAAGGGAAATTAGCAGGAGCATGAACAGAAGAAGTAACCAAGTCCAAAAAAAACCTATGGACCAATCCAGTTACAATGACTGCTTCTAAGCCTAGAGGCAGAGAGCCCTACAGGATGTCTGCCATGTAAGGCAGAGCAAAAGAGTACCGAGAAAGATCTAGCAAGAGTAAAACAAAGCAGTCCAGGAGGTCAAGAATAAGACAGTCAGAAGAGACCAGTAGAGAAGGAAGGAGGTGATCAAGAGGCCCTTCACAGCACCCAATGGCCTAGTGGCCTGAACAATTCTAAAACCATTACGCACAAGATAAACAAACCCGGGCAGGAGAGGCAGAGTGTGAAAGGGCGAAGAGCACTGGCCGCGAATTAACCCATGCCGTTCCCACTGGAACGTCAGTGAAAGAAAGAGGCTCCTAGTTTAAGCACAGATGCCAGGGGAAGAAGCGGAAAGACGCTGCCCCTCGCTTCTATCCACTCTGGGCCAGGGCGGGCACCTACGCAGCCTTGCTCGGGCTCCTGGCTCGGCCACCGATGGCCGGCCCCGGGCCCCGGCGCGCGCAGCGCCCTTTGGAAGGATACGATCGCTGGGGCCTCGGGGCCCTGGAGGTGTCCAAGCAGGATCTTGAGGCGGGCTGTGGCAATTCCCCCAGCTCGCCCCGGGTCCTTGACGTTCAGAGCAGCGGCTGCCATCCCCGCTGCAGGAGGAAAGCAAGGAGCCGACCGGACAGAACTAGGACGAGGGCCCCAGCCACCGTCTTACTTCCCCTCTCCCCCAGCTCCGCCTCCCCAGGAGAGAGGAGCGCAGGCGCACGAGTCCTACCTGGAGCCGGGCCAGAGCCGGAGCTGGGGAGTAAAGGGGAGAAGGGCCGAAGGAAAGGCTAAGCCGACGGGGCTTAGCCCCAGGGCTGGGTCCTTGATCCTGGGGGCTTGATCCCAGCGACCTGGGAGACTAAAGATGAGTGCTGCGTGCACTTTTATATGCTAGAAAGTTACGGTGCGTAAATAGAAAAGAAAGCGACAGCTCGCTTGTCCCAGTAGGCTCTGAAGTCAGGATATGGCCTCAAATTCTGGCACTGTGCCACCTGCTAGCTGTGTGTGATTGTGAGCTTCTCAGGGTTTCCCTTTCCTCATCTGGGGTTGGATAAGCTCTGAAGCTGCAACCCATCCTCCACCCCCATTACCTTTAGTCCTGAATGGGACCGGGCAGATGTCGGCTGGAGGAACTCCAGGTTTTAGGGCCCTGTCCATCACCCTTTGTCGGAAATTTATATACCGTTGCTCATTTTTGCCGTGACCCAAATTTTTTCTCACAAGGCGGCCATGAATTCCTCCTCAAGCCCTTTTTCATTTCCTTCTCTACCCCCACTTTCCCAAAAACTTCTAGCCATCATGGGAACCAGAGCTTAACATAGGTAATAGGGTTTTCTCAGGACAATTAGCCATTTCTTAAGCGCACAAAAGAAAGGATAAACAAACGTCTTTAGCATGCCGGAGGGAAGAGAATCCTTTTGCTTACTATTTAAGCCCTGAGAGAAGATTATAAAACTCCTTACTGCCCTCAACTGGTACGTAAGTGATGCTGACTAGAGAAACCCTCAACAAATATAACTTGTATAGTAAAGCATAGTCCTTTGAGGCCGGCAGTGAAAAGTGTTATTATAACCAGTTTATAGCTAAACAAACTGAAGCTTGGGGAGTCACAGAGTTGTAGAATCTCAGAGTTGGAAGGGACCTTAGAGGTCAATTAGCTCAACCTGTATCTGAACAGAAATCTCTAATAATAATAATAATAATAATCTCATATATCTATAGAATTTAAAGGTTTCCACTGTGCTTTCCTTACAACAGCTAACAAATGGCTAGTATTTTTAATTCTCACAACAACCTTGGGAAGTAGGTGTTATTATCCCCATTTTATATATGAGAAAACTGAGGCAAATAGTCATAACCAGTAAGAGTCTGAGTCTGGATTTGAACTCATGTTACTGACTCCCAATTTAGTGATCCACATTCCTTCATTTCAACAAGTATTTATTAAGTGCCTACCATGTGCAAAACAACAACAACAACAACAGTGTGCTGGGCATTGGAGAGAGGATAGATAAGACATAAACCCTAGTCTTAAGGAGTTTATAATTCAACAGAGGCAAAGACAAGTACAGAAATCATTTTGATACAAGGGAGAGTGAGGTAAGTGCAAAAGAGAGATCCAGGCAAAGAGTTAGGAGAAGTTTGATGATAGGGTCATAGAGTTAGAAGTGGAAAGAACCATAGTGGTTATCTAGTACAACTGCCTTATTTTACAGATGAGGAAACTAAGGTTCATGAGTTAAATGACTTGTCCACAGCCAGAAAGGAAGTAAAGAGGAGAGCCAGTATTGGAACCCAGTCAGAACTTGTGCTGTCCAGTGGCAATCTTAGCTAATTTTGGAGAGAATCACCACCATCAGTGGGGTCTCTAGGTGATCAGAGGGATCATAATATATCTAGAGTTGGAAGGAACCTCAGAGGTCCTTTACCCAAACTCCCTCATTTTACAGATGTAGAAACTGAAGTTTCTTCACACAGGTAGGTTAAGCGTCTTGCCCAAAGTTACTTGATAAAATCTCTGCTTATGGTAACTCAGCAGTCAATCAAAAACACATTTATTAAGCCTCCATGTCAACTAATTGGCCATTTTGCTTCTATCATTCTTCTACTCAATGGCAAAGAAATTCTGTGCCTCCTGTCGGTTAGGTTTTCACCCATTCATTCCGTCAGCAGCCATTTAACTAAGCATGTACTGTGTGCTGGGCAAAGGAAGTACAAAGACAAAAATATAAGTCTCTCCTCAAGGATTTTACATATAATAAAGCTGCAGAGGTAGGTTGGAACCAGGTTGTGAAAGATGAAACTGGAATGTTGTTTATGGGAGATGGCAAACATGATAGTTTGGTTGAAACTGAAGAGTCCATGGAGGGGGAATGAGGTGATATCAGTCTGGAAAAATAGTCTGGAGCCAGATCGTTAAAGGCCTTAAGTGCCAAACAGAGGAGTCTATTGAGGTTTTTAAAAATGGGGTCTTAAGATAGCTTCAAATTCTGGCACTGTGCCACTTGCTAGTGTCTGATTGTGAGCTCTGGGAGGGCTTCCCTTTCCTCATCTGGGTTTGGACCAGGTCTGAAGCTGTGACCCATCCTCCAACCCCCATTACCTTTAGTGCTAAATGGAAATGGGCAGATGTCGGCTGGAGAAACTTGAAGTTTTGGTTTAGACCATTATTTCAGGAATATTAGTTTGACAAATGTGTGAATGATGAGAGACAGACAATTTCGGGAAGGGATAAGGGCCTGAACGAGGATGGTGACCATGTGAGTAAAGAAAAGGGGACATAGAAAGAAAGAATGAATAAGTGGAAAAAGCATTTACTAAGTACTTTCTATGTGTCAAACACTGTTCTAAGAGTTGAGAATACAAATATAAAAAGCAAAAATGGTTCCTGCCATCCAGGAGTTCATATTATAAAGGCTTGGAGATGACACGTATAAATTGGCAAGTGGTAGCCAGGGAAGGATCAAAATAAGAGCCTAGACATCATATTTCAAAAGATCTTAAAACCTCCCAAATCTCTCATCAGAGGACAAAACAGAAATTGAAAGAATCTGCTGGTAATCTCCTGAAAAGAAACCTAAAACTGGAAACTCCCAGGAACATTATAAACAAAATCTAGAGCTTCCAGGTCAAAAGAAAAAAAAATACTCAAAGCAGCCAGAAAGAAAGCCAGAAAGGACCATGGAGCCACAGTCAGAATCACCCACAATTTATCAACCATCACTATAAAGAAGCAGAGAGCTTAGAATATGGTAAACAAAGGATATAGGCTTATAGCCAAGAATAACTAACCCAGCAAAACTGAATGTAATCCTTTGTGGGGGAAGATGGAACTTTAATGAAATGGAGAATTTCCAAACATTTCTGATGAAAAGATAAGAATTGTATAGAAACTTTGAAGTTCAAACACAGGAGTGAAGAGAAACATAAAAATATAAACATGAATAAACAGTGATAAAGAACTAGACAAAAGTAAACTGCTTGAATTCTAATATGGGAGATGATACACATGTCCCCACTGAACCCTATCATCATCAGAAGTCACTGAGAGAGTCTAATGATACAGAAGGCCTGGGAATGGTCTTGTTAGGTCTTAATGAATACACCACTTCCACTTAGCAATATAATCCTCATGTTCCCATGTGAGTAAAGAAGAGGGAAAGGGAGTGAACAAGGAAGGGAAAAGAAGGTTAGGAAAAATTATCGCATGTAATCAAGGTGTGCAAGTAGACATTCATAAGAAAAAAAAGGGGAAAGGGGTAGGGGGAAGCAAATTACACTTGAACCTCACTCTCTTCTAAACTGGTCAAAGGAGGGAAGGATATCCATATCAAGTTGGGTACAAAAATACATCTCACTTAACAGGGAAATAGGAGGGAAAGAGAAGGGGACATTGGAGGGTAGAGATTGAGGGAAAGATTAGGCAAAGATTGGAAATCTGAGGGGGTAGCTATAAATTAGAGAATGGCTGAACAAATTATGGTATATAAAGGTGGTGGAATACTATAATACTATAAGAAATGATGAAGGGGATGATTTCAGGAAAACCTAGGAGGGCTTATAGGAACCAATGGAGAGTGAAGAGAATAGAGAACAGGAGAACAATTTATGCAATGACAATAGTAACTTTGAAAGAATTGTTAACAATGATCAGGGTAACGACCAACAGCAATTTTAGAGAATGAATGATGAAACGTACTGCCCACCTCTTGAAAAAGAAGTGAAAGACTCAGAGTGGAGAATGAGATATTTTTTTTCTTTTTTGCTAGGCAGTGGGGTTAAGTGACTTGCCCAGGGTCACGCAGGTAGTACGTGTAATGTGTCTAAGGCCAGATTTGAACTCAGGTCCTCCTGAATCCAGGGCCGGTGCTCTATCTACTTCGCCACCTAACTGCCCCCGAGATATATTTTTAGACATGATCAGTGCAGACACTTATTTTGCTTTGTCATACATTTTTTAGCAGGACTTTTGTTTATCCTTCATTCTCATTTGGGGAGAGGGAGCTGGGGTTTGAGATGAGAGGGAGAAAATGCCAATTTTTGCTGATTGAAAATACACTCACACATATATATATATGCATATGTGTGTGTATAATTTTTTTTGTTTTGTTTTTTGTTTTAGGCAATTGGGGTTAAGTGACTTGCCCAGGGTCACACAGCTAGTAAGTGTCAAGTGTTTGGTCTGAGGCCAGATTTGAACTCAGGTACTCCTGACTTCAGCGCTGGTGCGCTATCCACCGCGCCACCTAGCTGCCCCTCTAATTTTTTTTAAAAAGCAGTTGCTTGCTAGTTCCTAGGCCCTAGTTACTATTGAACAGATGATACAGGGTCATACAACCACCCTTTGTTGAGACTTGTGATGTAAAATGATCCCTCTAACAAAAAGGGTAGGGAACATGAGGATTGTCTTGCTAAGTGGAAGTGGTGTATTCAAACTCATGCTTGTTTGGGTCCCTCCAGTGTTAATGTCTTTCACAAATGAAGCGGCATCTCTTCCAGAGTCTGAGGCCTCCAGTCAAGGCCTTAGAACCATTCCTTCTCCACTAGTTGATCAAGTCCCCACCTATGTAGGACCTATATGGCTCCTGGGGAACATCGTTTTGCCTGGTTTACTGATGGTTCCATCCACACTACGAGAGGCACATACAACTGGAGTCCTGGAACTCAAAGAGTTAAGTCCTCTAGGGCATAG